ATGTGTAGCAGGTCTTGTCCTAGTGACATTGGTTCCGAAAGGAGCAAAATCCAAATGGTTTGGGTCTGAGGCAATGTTGTTTCTCCCCGTCAAACTCTTTATCCTTCTCTCGCCACTCGTGGTCTCAAGGCAACCATCTTCGATGACCAAGGTAACAAACTTTTCCAGCATGCCAACTAGATGTTACGTCTTCCTTGCATACAGGGAGTCATATAACCCCTAGTACTCCACCTGGAAACCATGGCATATGCGGGGAAATCGTTCACAGTCCACATCATTGCAACCCACAAAGTGAACATCTTGCCAGTACATTTATCTTATGTGTGCACACCGTGTGTCCATAAATCTTTTAGCTCATCCACCAATGGCCGTAAGTATACATCGATTGACCTACCAGGATCCTCAGTTATCAATAGAGTCATCATCATGTTTTTTTTTTCATACATTTCCATGGTGGCAAATTATACGGAAATACGAAAATTGGCCAAGTACTGTGGTGTTGGTTTAAAACCCCAAACAGATTAAATTCGTCAGTGGCAAGTCTCAATCTAACATTACGAGAATCAGCAGCAAACTTGGGGAATGTTCGATCGAACTCTTTCCATGCCTCCCCATCTGCAGGATGTCACATCACATTGTCGTCTACCTATTTTTCCTTATGCCATCTCATGTCTGTGGCAGTATGTGACAACATATACAATCGCTGCAACCTAGGTTTCAGGGGCAGATAACGCATGACTTTTTGTGGGATCTTAGTGGTTATATTATGAGATGTCATTTTGAACCTCGACTCATTGCATACAGAGCATTTATCCAATGTTTTATACTCTTCGTAGTATAAAATACAATTGTTTTTGCAAGCATGAATTTTTTCATAACCCAATCCAAGACTTTTCAACACCTTTTGCACGTCTCTATGGTCTTTCGGCAAACAATTGTCCTTTGGAAGCATTCTCTTGAAAACCCCCAAAAAGTAATCGAAACACTGGTTCGACATACGATGCTTTATTTTTCTATGCATTAGTTCCACAATGGCAGTGAGAACGAAAAAGCTTTCGCACCCCGAGTATAACTCTTGGTTGGCATTTTTTAATAGCTTTTCATATTGTTCGAACTCTGCACTGTCCATTGGTGTAGGCACGTCATCTTCCCCTTCGTGATTGGTCTTTGTCGATGCAAATGTTAAAGCATCATTATAATATCCATGACTTGTTCATAAGGATCGACAATAGGTTTAACATTATCCACTCTTGTGGCATTTGAAGACGAAGCATTGTCTAATTGTTCCCCATGATGGTTCCAAGTATTATATGTCTCAATCATTCCATTCCTTACTAAATGAAATCGAACATTTTTTATTGTCTCCCTTAACGTGTTGTTACACCTCCTAAAAGAACACTGGATTCTAGTTGCACCCAGGTTGTGTGTACTTGCAAAGTGAATAAAATCCTCAATTCCATCCAAGTATTCGTCTGCGCATCTATTCGGGTTTTGTATCCACGTCCTGTCCATAATTCCTGGAACCACAATAACAATACAACAATCACAACAATTTCATACATACTGATAATGTCACCTTATGCCTCCGGTAGGGGCCCTATCCCATTCGGGAATGTATAGTTATGTCATGTAATTTACGGCTACATCAAATTAGATTTCGACGTGGATGAATTTCGGCAGCATCTCGATAAAGTTCTTTAGGTGTACGACCCGAAGAATGTACAGAGATGATACCGAAATCTCCACAACCGAAACCTAATCCTTCAACCATAAACTACGCGTCATAACTGTGCATTCCCAAATTGTCCAAATAATGGGACAATTCAAGAATTAATTGGACCGCAGTCATGCTTTCGCATCCATGCGCGAAATCCAACTAATCCTTAAACGGGAAACTAAGTTTTACAAAAAATAAAAAAACAAGTACGAAGTTAATTTCAATAAACTCCGTACATCACAACACATATTTGTACGTCAAGTACAAATTTAACAACATAATATAAATATAATTTCATAGCACAATATAAACATAACAAACTAAGTTCAACATAATTTAATTAATGGTGTATGTTTAAAAAATAAAACGAAGAAATTACCTTCTCAATCGTTATCCACCAATCGCTAATCACACACAATATCCCTATAGAGAACGAAATTAATGGCGTTAGTATGAATTTACATTAATACTTTTACCGTAACGATAAAAAACGCTTACCAGACACACCTAGATAGCTCAATCAACTTAGAGAAGATGAAGGGAGTAGTTTAGATGATGAAATTGAGAGAAATGAAAATGACGGATACCAGATTCAGCGAAATCGCAGGGATGAGTGCAGAGGCACAATCTGCAATTTTTTTGCAGTTTGCCTCTACACAAGGCTGATTTCAGATAAAAAAGGATGAAGGATTTTGCGTGACGAATAATATGTTAGTCGCTCAAAGGCTTTGAGCGACGAAGAAAACTTTTTCGTCACGCAAATATTTCTTGCACGACAAACGTCTGTATTCGTCGCACAAAGGTTATTTGCGCGACGAAAGAAAACGTTCGTCGCGCTAGAAATATATATTTTTTATTTTTTATGTTTTCCTTCTTTATTTGTATGTACTGTAAATTTTTATTTTATTATAAATCAAAAACTCAAACCTAATTAAACATTAAATTAATTAACAAAACTAATTTACGATCCCAAATAAAAATTATAATTACTGCAAATATTAATACCCATCCACATAACATATATTTATTCATTAAATTCAACATAAAGTCCACAAAATCTTATTTAAAAAAAAAAAAAAAAAACAACCCCTCATCAACTTCAATCCTCCCTCGCCTGCAACACATCAAACTTCCACTTCCAGAATCTCTGCTTGAAAAGCCCATCCACATAAATCCGTTGCTTCTCATCGGTTTCATCAATATCCCAATGAACCTACATTAATGCCAACAACAATAAATTAGTAATTTAAAAAATATTACGTTTTATCAAAAATAATTTTTCATTATTTACCATAAACTTACCGATAACTCTCCCAGCATGGACTTCTTCAGCTCCTCAGAGACCTTTTTCCAAGACTCAAACTCGGCAGAACAATCCCTCCGCACCAAATTCCCAATGTCATAAATGAATTCGGCGTACACCTTAACCAAATTTTTGCCTTCAAAGTACGGCACTTGCTTCCGTCGGTACCTCTCTACTCGTACTACAACTTTTTTTTTCCCAGAACCTTCCTCAGAATCTGCCATTCTTTTTTAAACAAAATTTTTTTGAAAACTTCGACTCTGAAACTGTGTTTATATAGCACTAGGACAACTTTGCGCGACGAAATAGTCGTCGCGCAAAATGCGTCATTAATGAGCAATAAATTGGAAGGTTTGAACCCTTTCAGACAGCGCACTGCGCGACAAACACTTGTATTCGTCGTGCAAGGTGTATTTGCACGACGAATTATCGTCGTGCAATATATTGAGCGACGAATATAATAAAATAATTGTAATTACAAAGTTTACGTAAACATAGATATCTATGTTTACATAAACTTTGTAATTACAAACAAATATTCACAAACGATTTAATACCTTAAATATTTATTCTTAAATTAATTAATACTTTAAATATTTATTCTATAAATAATTAATACCTAATATATTATTCTAAAAATAGTTAATACCTTAAATATTTATTTTACAAATAATTTATGTCTTCATCCATACAATTATTTTCAGCATAAGTATGATATTCATTAAAGATTAAAAACACATATAAACCATAGCCAGGGTGCTTACATTAGGTCTAAAAAAATAAAAATAAAAACCGAACAAGAATTCAAAACTAATTAAGTCCAAATGCATAAATTAGAAAAAACAAACCTTAAATTTAAAATTGTCGTACAAAACATAAACTTTAAACTACTATTTGGATGATCCTGCTCCATTCCGCAAGACTTCATAACGCCACATATTGTAACCTTCCTCCAATGCATCCTCCAGCAACTTCATCAATTGTTCTTTCGATTCATCATAAAAAACATACTTATACTGTTACACATATATACATATAATTAATTCCAACATATAACTAAAAATTTCGCAAACTAAATTATTGATCCATCAACAATATACTTACTAATAATAGTTCATCCATCACAAGCTTTTTCACATTTCCCGGCACATCTTTCCAAGAACGCCACTTAGTAGTGGGGCAATTATTCCTCATAGCTGCAGCAATTGCACGAGCAAACGCAAAATGTTCTCTCATATCATGCGCGTCGGCCTTGCGCACACTTTCATTGTTGTTTTTATCCACCATCTTAGCACGAACATAATTGTGAAGAAAAAGACAGTAGAAGCACCTATTTATAGCAAAGTTAGGATCTTTGCGCGACGAACTCTTTGTCGCGCAAACATCTGCATTAAATAGCCTCAGATTTACCTGATTTAGATGTATTGGAAAGTGAAAAGTTGGTGGAACTTGTGCGACGAATATTTGTCGCGCAAAAGTAACATTTCGTCGCGCAAGTTTTTTCCACCAAATTAAATTACCCGCGTTTTCTTGCTAACTTTAAACGACGAGAAAAAATATTTGTCCCGCAAGTTTATTTTATTTATTTTTTCTATTTTACGCGACGAAGTTTACTTTTGTCGCGCAAGTGCGGCTTGTGCGCCTAATTTTTGTTCGTCACGCAAAATGTCGTCGCGCAACCTGTTTTTTTTACTAGTGTGTACGGCACGCAAAGAGATTAATAATTGGCAATTTGGCATAGGTGCAACATTTGACGTTCCTTACGACGACGAGAACGTACACAGGAAAGCAACACAACCGCGGAACAAAACAAAACAAAATGCGGTCATGATCACGAAGTCATGGTCCAAACAACTGGCCGGATCACGGACCACCACGCATTCAATCCCTCCAGTACTCGATATCCTAAGTCATTTTCTCCTCTTAAGTTTGCATCACACACCTTATCTTACTCATATATATTCACGCAAGTAACCAAAATCAATAACTTTCTCACCAAACAGAAGAAAAGAAAAAAAAAAAAAAAAAAAACCCGTAATTAGGACACAAAAGGAATTAAACTATTTGATTTCACATAGGAGGATGGTGATGATGGAAGGCTGGTCTCCAACTACCATATCTCCTTTGCTTCTCCGCAACCTCATAGCCTCCCTCTTTATCTTCGCAGACAAATCCTTCCTAAACTTGTCTGAGAAATCCAAACTCCTCCAACTCCTTCGCTATACTTTCGTCACTTCCTTCCTCTTCCTCCTCCGTTTTCTTCCTCCTCTAAACCCTAACAATAACCAACCCTACAAGCCTCCCAACAAGAATGCTAGTGATCACACTAGTGATCATTATGATTATACGCTCTCCTCATGCGGCGGCGGTGCTACTATTACTGGCGGCGGCGACTCCGCTATCGCTCGAGCACTTTCGCAGCTCTTGTCCCTCGTCAACGACATCCCCGTAAACTCCAGGAAGTACCAAGTTGTTCGCTCTTTAGCGGAGAACCTCATCGACGACAACCACAAAGAGGGCGTAGAGGCTTTACGTCAAGTCAACCGTACGGTTCTATCCGCGGCTTTTTCCACCACTCTGAGCCAGCTTGAAGCCGCCACCATTCTCGAACAACAAGGAGAAGTGCGTGGGGGTGATGGCGTCGATTTGTTGGGGAACGCTCGGCCGGCGGAGAACCGGTGGAGCCCGGTCCTACGGGTGGTTCGATCGATATGGGACGTGGCGTGGATAAGGGGGACGAGGGCGAGCGGGACGAGGAGCTCGGCGGAGAAACTGGCGGCTGAGGTGCTTTGGTTGGCTGAGAAGCTGGCAGCTTGTGACTTGGCTGATGAAGCAGTGCGGAGATGGGCTGCCTCCTTTAATTTGGCTTGGCTCTCTCTTTCCGTTGAGCCGCGCTTACAAGCATCCTTGGTCAAGGTTTCGGGTAAGTTCTTATTTATTTATCTCTTAATTTTTAACCAAATTGACGAATTCTCAAAGTACATAGCATTATATGAAAATGAATAAAGAAATTGAAAATAAAAAAGACTCAGATAAAAATTAAAAAAAATTAAATAATCGTAGAAATTAAATCTAGCACTAAAAACTCTAGCAGTGCCTTATTGAAGTTTTTACATTCAAGAATAAAGAGCATCACTCATTACAGCACATTTTGTGACTAATAGTTTAGCGAAGTTTTGATTTAGATTTAGACAATTTTTACTTTAATAATCTTCCTCCATGTTCACTTAATTTTGTTCGTAAAAATCGACTTGGATGTTTTGGGCTAAATTTATTTGATTAGTTTTGTTTGGACTTTTGTTTTTAGCCTATTTTTCAACCAAACAAAGAAAAAAAAAGAGCAATACAGAATTGAAGAAAATAAGGATAACACTTTGGACAAAATTGAATGGACCGATATACCATATAAATCTCTACGAATATGCCATGTATAGGGATGATATATTCCTAGGCATGGTTTAATATTCCCTTGACTATTAATATTTTCTTTTCATGGTTTTCTGCTGGCGTGACGGCACTAAATTTTTGGATATCTCTTCTTCATGCTTTATATTTGTCGTTATTGGTTGTTGAGATAGCATCTAATTTAGGTGTGGTAGCTGGAAACTTCATGACAAAGATAATTATGCATGCATGGCTCCCATTATTTGACTTTTCAATTTGTGAAGAAAACATTTTTTTAATATTAATTTATTGCTAATTATAAACCAAAACGACATTGTTTTTGAGTTAAGGTAAGTGAATTAGACTTTGAGTGTAACGGTGAATGTTCTTAAAACTTATTTTTAATTACGTTCTTTGGTTAATCTCACTTTGCCCCTTGTAACTCAAATTTCACAACTTTACCTTCTAAAACTCAAAATCTGTTCCAAGACTCTCTCTTCTCCATGAACTAAAAAGTTTCCCTAAAAGATATGTCGAACCCACCACTCAATAAGACAATGCCACTGTTCGCGTCAGGAATTTCCGTCGAGGACGTTTCCTGGTCGACGAGCACACAGCTCCCCGGGAGGTTGGCGCCGGTTGAGGGCTGCTGTCGGGCTTCTGCTTCACTGTCGGGCTTTGTCGGGCAAGGCTCGTCGGGCAAGGCTTATCGGGCAAGACTCGTCAGGCACGGCTTGTCGGGCAAGGCTGGAAGAGAAGGACAACGTTAACTTTGAGAGGTGCCTTTGTGGGGTCTTAGGTGTAGGCCTTGAGGCTCACAATCAAGATTAACTTCTAAGTACTCAGGCGTGCCACTACCATCTTTAGCATGGCAGATGTAAAATGGATGTCGCGTTTTAGTTGTATATATATATATATATATATATATATATATATATATATATGCCCGAGAAACCGTGTTAGTTATAACAGGTGCCTTTGTGGGGCCTTAGGTGTAGGCCTTGAGGCTTCCCATCAATAACTAAACTAGTGCTCAAACATATAATATTCGTTCGATTGATTGCAGGAGCCTTACAACTATTATACTTCTGATTACCCGAATCTGAGAGATAGAACGAACCCAAATAGGTGCCTTTGTGGGGCCTTAGGTGTAGGCCTTGAGGCTTCCCATCAGAATTCGTTCCATGCTTAAGCGTTCTATGATAATCATAATATAATAGAAATAAAACTAAGGGGTAGGTCGATTACTTGTGCCCCAAGTAACTTCGGACTTCTTGTTTATCAAGGACTATCGTGGATGGGTTAAGTCCACATAAGGTTCTTTTTTATGCCTTGAGGCCAAGGACTTTCAACTGATCAAATTTACATGCCCGAGGGCTTAGAACTTAGATCTGGTTTGAACAATGAAGATATATTCAAATCGGATCCAAGTACTAAGAGATTCTTTTAATAGTCATCTTACTAGAAATAACTTGAATACAACTGGAAGTATACAACATCTTGCTAGGCTAATGAATGAAAAGACAAAAACAAAGAAGGTCGGGCAAGGTTTAACCTTGTCGGGCAAGCCTGGTCGTCTTGCAGGTTCCTATCTTTGTGGCTTATCAAGGGTCTGAGAGCTTTTAGGGAGAAGTAAGGAGAGGAGTTTACAAAGAGAAATCGATACTACAGCAAGGTTGAACAGGGTAGCAGAGCTATTACAAGGGTTTGAGTGAAGGCTTGTCCCGAGAGGGATGAAGGCTTGGGCTGACTATAGCTTCGTTTTAAAGGCAAATCTGGCTTTGAGCAGAGTTTGTGCTTGCATTTGTTTGTTTGTTTGAGTGTCCTTAATCCTGATTTCTCTTTCTTCTTTTATAGACAACTCAGCTTGGCCTCTTGTAGCAGCAGCCTTGCCCGAATGCAACTTGAGAGGCAGTGACTCATCAGCTTTTTTACTTGTTCTGCCATTATAAAGTATTTTATGGGCTGTATAGCTGGTCAGTCTATACCACTTGGCCTTTGGGTAGGTGAGCAAATGGTCTTCATGAGCTGCACCAAGTCAGAAAAGCCCTTTTCTGTTTTCTGGGCTTTGGCTAGGCTTAGGCCGATTCTTCCTTTAGGCATCCTTTTGGGCCTGCCCCTTTCCTGAGCCTAAAGTTCAAGTTTTGATCCAAACAGTGCCCCCTTCAATTGATATTTAGCCTGGAATTCCAGGCGCCAATATTGATTGAATAGCTGCATGCGGTTGCACCCTTACCCTTGGAACTTGTGTCTTCTAGATGAAATTAATGGCACCTAGAGTCTCTTGATCTTCTCACAACCCTTGAACTACTCTCTAGTATTCTTTATAAATGTCATCTCTCTCAACAAACCATCCTCGAACTCAACTTTCATTCTCCCCAAGTGTTTCTTCTTTCTGAGTTTCCTCCCAAAACTGTGGAATGAGTTCTTCATATTTTAAGTGGAGTTTCCTAAAATTCCCTTTCCGTGAGAAAAAGAGTTTTCATCAAATAATCGCTATCTCCAACACCTTTGGTCGAACACCCCGCTATCTCCAACACCCTTGGTCAGGCGGTTTCCTCACGAAGGCTTGCTTTCCTGCTTGCTACCGTGATAAGTCGGGCTTCATCATCACATACGGTGATAGTCTTGATTGAGGATCCTCTACCAGGCGTGTCTTGGCCGCATAACCCGATCACCTGATCGGGTTCCATCCATGAAGACATCAGAAAATCAACTGAAGATATCATTGCATCCAGAAGGAGAATTGATTGTAATACGTCGGCTTTGAATCTTTTGTAAATTTCACCAATTTGTCGAAATGAAATATACATTATTTCAGCAACTCTTGTCTTTCCGTCTTCTTGAATGATTGATAAATATACACTGCACATTGATATCCCGAAGCTTGCTTTACCTTGCATCCTCTTCAATATAACAATCTTTAACATCCCACAACGTAGGACAATATTTCTTTAAGAATTTAACATTAATGGGATGTTTCTGCCTGTTTCCTTCAAGGTCCGCCAAGTAGTATCCTCCTCTATCCAAAACGTGACTAATAATGAAAGGACCTTCCCATGTCGGGCTCCATTTTCCAAAGCCCCTGAGCTGAGCTCCTAGAGGGAGGACTGTCTTCCAGACTAAATCCCCTTCCTTGAAAGACTTCATCTTTACCTTTTTGTTATAAGCTCGGGCAACGACTTGCTTTCCTTCTTGAATTTGGTTCAAAGCTTCAATTCGGGCTACATCCAAGTTTTCAATTCCTTGACACATGGCTTTGATGTACTCTTCACTATGTAACCCAAATTGATTTTGAATTCTGACAGAACTTACATTGATCTCCACGGAGAGCACTGCATCTTGCCCGAAAGTTAAAGCATAAGGAGTTGTCCCTGTTCCTGCCCTCTTGGAAGTTCTGTATGCCCACAAAGTGTTCCCCAGATTTTCATGCCACTTTTCTGGACTATCTATCACCATTCTTTTGATAATGTTGACCAGGATCTTGTTGCTGGCTTCTGCCTGGCCATTTGATTGAGGGTAGTACGGACTGGACTGGATCATCTTTATTTTGTACTTGCTTGCAAACTCCTCAACTTCTTTTGAAATAAAAGATGGCCCACGATCCGTTACTATAGTTTCGGGCACCCCATATCTGTGCAGAATCTTGGTCTCGATAAAATTATTGACTACGGCTGAAGTTATGGACTTTACTGCTGATGCTTCCACCCACTTGGTGAAATAATCCGTTGCTACAATTATGAAAGTATGCCCTTTACTAGAAGCTGGATAGATTTGCCCGATGAAGTCCATCGCCCATCCTCTAAAGGGCCAAGGCTTGACTACTGGATTTAAAGGTACCGATGGCACATGCTGGAGAGGTCTGTGCCTTTGACATTCTTCACAACCTCTGGCATAAGACTTGCAATCTTTTTCCATGTCGGGCCAGAAATAACCATACCTTCTAAGCAACCATCTCATCTTCGTTCCAGCCTGATGTGCTCCACATACTCCTTCATGTACTTCGGCCATTACCCTCATGGATTCTTCTTGGCCCAAGCATTTCAACAGTAACCCATCTGGAGTTTTCCTTAGCAAGTTCTTCGCCCATAAGACATACTTGGTTGCTTGCTGTCTATCCTTCTTGCTTGTAGGCGAAGAGGGATCCTTTAAATGATGAATGATAGGTGACCTCCAATCTTCTATCTTGGCTTCTAGCACCATTATATCTAGACTGAATCCCCTTTCTAAGATCAAAGGAAGGTTTCTTCTTTGGATCTCGACATCTACCCCATATATTCTCTCCTGTATTGGCACTCCTGAGGCTAGTTGTGTCATCTCATTGGCAACTAAGTAATACCCCGCCATGGTAATATGTCTGCACTTGAACTCCCCATTTAACTGGTTTATTACCAACTCTGAATCCCCAAAGACCTCTACCTCTACTGCCCTCAGATCCATCAAGATTTCCAGACCAATTATTAAGGCCTCATACTCTGCCCGATTATTAGTATTTCCTTGGTAGTCCAGGAGAAATGAGTAATAATGATACCCCTTGAG